GTACAGCTGAACAGGCTCAATGTCATAGTCTGGGCAAAGCGTTGCGTTGCCGATGGCGGTGGTGTGGGCGAACGTGGATCAATATCCATAGTATCATCCGCCGCACTCTCTATAGCATCTGGTGGTGGTGTAGGCGATCGTGGATCCTCCACTACATTCTCGGTAGCATCTGTATCCTGAAAATAGTCACAGTGATAGAAACATGAGTTAATTAACTTAGCACATTACATATCCATTAACACTTGTTATTCGCATTTGTATAATAGTCTATTGTTCGTAACATTGGCTTATTAATAACATCTAAAATGATATCCACCTCAGGAATGACTTCGACTCTCTGTGCACTAATTGTTTCGATTACACATCGCGTACATTTCCACTGGAACTCTCTACCATGCTTCACCGCATCTGAATAAAAGGCTGCTGTAATTCCTGTAAAAAATGATTTGCTGTTATTAAAACTTTATATAAATAACGTGTTGGTGTACATATATGACACAATTTAAAGTATAATGTAATTTATAAAACTGTCGAAAACAAATTGGTTATGAGGTATAGGCTCACCTGTTGCACACTTTCTGTGCTGCCAACGATCACATTGATCACACTGCATTGCTTGGTGGCGCGATGTTACTTCTTGGCTGCATTTCACACATGGACATCTTACTACTGCGATACGGCGGCTTTCCTGGTGTCTGGTATTCATGATGATATATATTCCTGTAAAAATACAAACTAGATACAAATGAAATTGTGCAGTACTGTTCGGTATCGTATACAAATGTTTGCTAAACAGTGGTAATAGAATCGAAATAGAATTTGAGATTGACTAAATTGAATTTAGTTCTTAGTTGATAAACGAAATAGAGTTTGAGATTAACAATGAATCTTGATTATCGAAATAGAATCTTAGTCTGTCGATCAGCGGTTGACAATACAAAATATAATCGAAAATGGAAGTAGAATTTGCTGTCGATGGATAGGATAACTATGGGTGGGTCACAATATCGTGGTAGGTAAATATCGTCTAGTCAGAGCGTAGCTGCTGAGAGAGGTATGCCGTATGTTCACTTGATGATAAATCAATCAGAGTGGTTGCAGTACCCTAGAAATTGTTAGACTTTATACCCTTCAAATCACGCTGATTGGATATTTGGATTATATATTGGAAATTGCAAATTTGCATATTTAATATGCGCTAACCACTCACTTTAAATGCCTTATACTAGTACTTAACACTTGCCTAATAGATACTGGAGGTGTTGATACAAAACAATAGATCGATGAGCGGCGTGCGTCTTATCTAATGGGTGATTGTGCAAGCTGTCAGATCGATTAACGGGCGGCCCTTCTCATGTACTCATACAAAGCCGATCATGGGCGACGAGTCATGTACCGTTAATGGTCTAATAGTGGGCGATATACTAGGTATGCGCACAAACTGCAGAGTAATGTTTATTTTTGAGAATCAAATATGATTTCCAACATTTCCCCTGGACTTGAATAACGGTGTACGTCACAAAATGAATGTAAAACACATATACAATGGACTACAAATAAATTGGTTGTTGCTGTACCACAACTTCATGTCACAAAGCTCCACGTTACTGGGTCTTCTAGACGCCCAGTTTAATAGGTGTTATTCGGTACTGAAAAGGTGTCGCGGTCACACCTTTTTGATGGTGTGTGCTTGGTGTACTACTATCAGGCAATGTAGAGCCAACAATGGCAGAGAACAAACACACAGAATACTACTACGTTTTATTTTTTCAAAATGAATACTGTGTTCTTGCATTCATAAACCCTTGATAACAATTCTTCACTTCTGAAAACTAAACAAATATAATACGTGTACAATGTTAATATAACTACGTTGTATATATAATTCTCGTGATCCCTTTAGCGTGACCACAGTCCTTGTGACACACACCACCCCCTTTTGAATGGAACGTTCAAGATGGCGGCACCGTATTTTTAATCCGTGCGTTAAAACTGGAACGCCGAAACCACACAACACCGATTGATTGGTTGGTTCATTCATGTTTGTAAGGCAAGCCAGGGGAGATAAGTCAATCGAAAAAGGGGCAAAAAATCGCTATCACAGCGCATGGCAAAAAAAAGGCAAAGTATCGCTATCACGACGCATATGGCACGACACCGGTTCGACTCTTCGGGCGATATGCTACAATCGCGGCGATCAGCCACCTTCGATGTGGTTTTTACTTAAGTATAATTTTAAAAATATTTCAAAACCACATTTCCTTGCACGCATAACCGCGAAAACGAACACCAGTAAACTTGGGGCGAACCGACTTTGGGGCGAACTGACTTTGGGGCGAACTGGTCTGGGGCGAATGTGCATTGGGGCGAACTGACTGACCACCGACAAGACAGGTGGTTGCAGAAATTGCATGTCTGTATATAGATTTGAATTTTGTTTTATGAGAGTTTTACTTTAAAACATTGCTTTAATACAATTTTCAGGAACAAAATAGTGTCTTGATTTTTGATAAGCAAGTGCATTTTGATTGAAAAAGACAAACAATTATTTCTTTTAACTCCTGCGAGTTTACTGCGTTTACATGACAGCATTTTATGGTTGTGTATACTCTTTACTCAAGCCGGCTCAAGCAGAGTTTGGCTCAAATAAACCTTTGGGGTTGAGCTCTAATAGGATTGGGCCCGACATGGCTCTGACCGAAATCTGTTATTCCATGTACATGTAACAATCTCATTCCACCAATGAGTACTACCTGTATGTTGCCACACTTTGCGGACAACTGTAGATGAACGAATGGTACCACCCATGATTGCAAAAAACTAAGAACCGTTCATCCACAATGATGGGCAATAATCATTTGCTGCATCTTTGCTTGTCTTCTTCGAGCGTACCTGTTTCGCTAGGAGAGTATATTCTGCATTGACCTTCTCTGTCGCTCTGACATGTATCATAAAGAAACAACAACACAAGCACAACATCAAAATCGTTAGCAAGTTATTGAGGGCCTTGTTTCAATCTGCTCTGAACGAAGTGGATTGATCTTGGCTCTCTTTCGACCCGGCCAAGTAAATGCTTTGGAGATAATCTCCTGTTAATCCATGGGAGGGGCAGTAGTTCGGTACTGATAGAATGCTGTCGGGTAGACGTAGCAATTGTTCATACTTTAGGATGCATCGTTAGCTTCCATGGATACAATGGTAAATTGTATGGTATTGTGTAATTCACCTTCTGTCTGTCTACGAGGTGTGTACCAGGTCTTTTTTAGAATAAGGTTGCTTCTAAATACCTATTTTTGAACTATTTCAAAATACCTCTATTATATTCAGTATACGCTTACGTAAATGATAGAGGTGTGTTCATGTTCAAAATAAATCATATTCCAATGATCCAGTATAGAATAAATAATTTTTTTTTCCCGTTTACTAGGGGTGAGGGTGACATCTTACTTTGACAGAAATCTACATTGCTATGTGGTTGTGCTGTTAAAGTCAGTGGAGTCATGTACATTGTACATGTATTACATTATTGCTCTAAAGATACATCAGATCTTTCCATCTTGCATCTATCTGGTTAAATGCTTCCCCCATCTTCAAGGCAAACTCATATATGTACCCATCACTGGTAATCTTGTTATTAAAACTTAGCTGCATTTTCAATATTTCAGCTCTATACCCTTTTATTTCTAAAACTTATGTATACAAGGTCATGATCACTACACATAATGTGTTGCTTCCCAGTTGGTGTTTTATATGCGCGGACATGCTGTATGCACGGGTGCATATTGATTGGCATCTTCTTATAACATGTCCTCGTCCAATTTTAGTATCTACATTTTCTAATCTGTCTTGTACAGTACCTTCTAGTGTCCTTCACCATTGTTTGCTTCACTGTACTGGTCGTTGTGGAATGTTTACATGTGTATAATCTACTTTCCTGAACCAGTTCAAGTATCTTATAAACAAACCTAATACAGAGATACATATTTGGATTACTCTGATGCTCAATCGATCTACTTGTTATTCTGATTCAAATTTCAAAGAAGCAAAAATTCTTCATCACATCCTGCAAACAAGACCATACAAAATTGTCACTGATTTGACTGAAATCTGACAAAGGTTGAACCATTAACAACTCAAAACATGTTTTCTTCTGTCAGTTTTGAGCAAAAAATTGTTTTTCAGGAGATGTTGCTGTATCTTCATTCCTTCCTCTATCTGGAATATTTTTTCACCTAGTGGTGTTCAATTTTCGTTGATTGTAAATTTTGTTTTTCTTCTATGCGCTCCCAAATATGAAATGGAATAATCTATAGATATCTTTGATTTTATTCTGAACTACTATTATATAATAAACTGGAATATCTTTATTCGTTCACAATTTTCGTCCAAAAACCCTTCTAGGACCTTGGTATCATATCAACGCTAAAAATCATACACTGTTCCCTAATAACCACCCCAACCCCAGAACTGCCCCTCCCACCTCCCATTGTACAAATGAGTTATGAAATTTATCCTTTTTATGATTACAGTCTTAATTCTGATCATGAGGATCAAGAGAGGTGAGCTCTAAGTGGTAGTTAATAGATTGGGTGTGCTAGTATTGCTCTGTCGATGCATGATTTCAGTCATTTCATTGTTCATTATTTCCATGCTTTATTAGGTGTGTAATCACTATGCTGTTTTCTTTTCATGTTTGTTCAGTGGTGTCGCTAAATTTCTCAGTTAAATTCAAATAAAGGCGTTTCAAATTCCTAACTTTTTGTGCTGCAAGTGCAGTTTTTTAGATAATTTTTCAAACAGATTGGGAAAAATGTAAACCTGCAACACTACCAATGAATGTTTATGTATCTACCGGTAATAATTTTCAGGAACCTTCTTGGTACAGGAAAATACAACCCGACCGTGTTTATTTTATTTCTGTATTTGGCCAATAGATTAAGTTATGGATGAATGGCTGGGAACTGCTCATTCTGTAGAAAAAACAAATATATATTTTACCCAAAAAATAAATATTTTGCCTGTTCCATTGAAAAAAAATGTAATTGAAATTTTCTTAGGGACTAAGATTGTCCAATATAGAAGCAACAAGGTATATATTAAACATTTATCATTTAATAATAATTGCTTTCAGATGCGTATATTTAAGTTTGGATCCATGAAAGCATTTTCTGAAACAAAAAAATATGTCTTAGAAATACACAATACACATTTAAATGTGTGAGGTGGCCGTTTTTAATACACATTTTTCACATTTTTATGTATTTCTTTGTTAATTTTGGATCAAATCTTAATAAGAATTTTAGAAAAAATATTAAAGAAAGTGACGATGAACAGTAACAATAGTTGACTGCTTTAAATTGTTGGAAATAATACCCACAATTCCAGTGGTACGGTATATTACTTCCTGGTAGAAATCAACAAAACCTCTGACAGTCTAAAATACTGAGATGTAGCCCTACTGCTGAACAAAGTGAGAAGCTGAGACCACGTGTAAGAATAGTCTGCTTTTTGCTTTTGTAGAACTTCATATAGTTTTTCTATTGAACATTGTGATATTTGATTGATTTGCCTGTATTGTTGAGTGCTGGTTGTGTTAGTTTCTGTCACTATATTGCATATATATCATTGAGAGCACTACATGGCTATGTTTATTTCTTTATTTGTAGATACATTGTACTATGAATCAATCACATTTATGTTTATATTTTATTGTTATATGACGATAGACCTTATTCGCGAATTGCCATTGGGATTTTGTTGAAAGAGAGAACCACGCAACTTGTTTTTGCCACAAGATACATTGTAGTGTTCCATTCTACTGCCATTTTGTGCATTGTTTTAAAAAAATCATTGTTTCCGTGGCCGGAGAAACAGCAGATGTGATGACTGGAACACTATTGGTTTATTTTGATTATTTTTCATGATAAGTTTTTCTGTATTTGCTGCTTTAGAAGCACAACACCAATTATTTTTATACATGTATCAACCTACAAGATTATTGACATGAAGTGGTTGCACTTCCGATTTGTCTTTTATATATATATGTTTATATTAACTTCCAATAATCCATGTATTGGGTATTCACAATGTTTTCTCCAGCAAAGACAACATGTATACGACATGTTATAACATGTTGACAGTTGAAATAGTTGCATGTAATATGTTAAGTAAAAGCATTGCTGTGCTTTACCTAGCGATTAAGTATTACTTTTTTGTGATTCATTAGCTTTTGTAAATCTGATGTGACGTTAAATTTCGAAACAAAAAATTATTCCATTCCTAGATTAAATTGAAGTGACACCTTGCCTCACAAGAGATTGTTTGTTTGATGCCCTCAACTGACTCATTTTGTTCTAACCGGCAAACATGCAGTATTTGCTTTGTGATGAAGACATCCTATCGGATGGAGACATAAAACTCAGTCAGTCCTGTGTGTCGTTCCTTTCCTCAGTGCATGTGCAAAATTCTAGTATCCTTGTCAAATTAAGTAACGGATTTTCCACAGGATAACTGGAATGCAGCCGATGGTAGCATGATTCAAAGTAGAAATCATTCACAGTTCTAATAGCAGTCTTTTCTACATAAACTATAGTGACATTGTAATGCTTTCTAATCTGATGGCATGCTCACAGTATATAGCTTTTATCCTCCGATGTGAACAGATGTTACTATATGCACAACACATAGAAGTGTTGATGGCATTATCAAACACCTATTATTTTTTCAATGAATTATTAATATAAATGGTAATAATAATTATGCGACGTATCAAATTCAATTCAAATTTTGCAAAACTTGGCATATGTTCAGTTTTATCTCACTGAAAACTTAAAATTAAATGTAATTTTTTTGAAAATGTTTAACTGTAATATTCATATAACAAAATTATGAAAAAATATCTTAAAAACTAATATTTCTCAAAATATAACATTTTAATAAAAACTATGGTTGATATGGATTCATGGTGACACATATGTAGTATATGGAAAAAAATATGAAATGATACAAATTGTGTATGTATCATGCTGATGTGCATTTCTTGATGATTTCAGCAGCGGACTGTCTGGTAGTTCTTACGATCGTCATGTACAAAACTACGGCAACCAGCCCAAGTCAATGGCAAGTAAAGTTCAGAGACAATATTGGGTTACCAAACAAACTGTTATGAAGAAATTTGGCAAGAAAGAAGACGAGTTTGTTGTTGCTGGTGATGCAGAGCTCGATGCTAAGTTAGAGGTAATATGAGATACTTTATTTTGTTGATATTTTTCCATTTTTTATTAACATTACTAACAAATCATTTGCAGATTTCTAGTGCATGTAATATTCTGTCTAATTATGTCCTCTGTAGCCTTGTTTGAAAGTCAGTTCATGACGTGCACCAACATTGTTTGAACAAAATCACCTTATACTGAAGTCCGCTTTTAATTGCATCATTCTGCTGCAAGCTGTGTGGTTTGTCACTCAGACTTGCAAAATATACAGCAATGGCTTCGTAACAGAAGTTAAATATGGCTGATAATGAAATGTGCAAAGTGCTGAATTTGGGTTAGAAATGCACCACCAAAAGTTGACTGTATGTTCAGTGTTACACGTCACAGAAATTGTTGTCGTCAGCCAGATTTTCTTCAGCTTCGATGGTGATTTAGTTGACAGAGCAGAGCTGTTTTTTTGTTACTGATTGTCTTCCATCAAATAGCGGAGTTACACAAAATATATGTCAGCTGACAGACTGTTATTTAGGTTGCCGAAAGATGACCTGGATTACCATGGCGACCAAAACGGTTACAGGGTATAGGACTGCTCTTTTAGTCATATTAATGATTGTTCATTAGTGTCAACTTAACAGTGTACTCCCCAGAAAATTAGCATACATTATCGTCTAATTAACATAACAATATCATATGTTAATCACCTCTATTTGCTCCATTGCTTATTCAAAATTTAACAGTTGGGAACCTCTATTCTATAATGCCCTGGGAAAAAATTAGTTAGTTTTTGCTATCTTGAGTACTGTGGCTGCATTAATTTGCGAGGGAAAATTGTTGGCGAAAAATCATAGCAGCGAAAATTAATTAAGCAGTTTTCAGTATACTTTGCATCTATGATAAAAAAAAATGTCTTAGACTGTTTGTTTGATTGATTGTTTGTTATTGGAGGAAATTACTCTACTGACAAGTGTATAACAATTTTGAAGTACTTCTCACAATTGAGATACTTGACTGAGAAATAGCTATTAGCTTGTCAGTACAATAAATACAAATGAAGTAAGAATGACATCATTGATTGTTGCCATAGTAACTGCAATTTTGTGTTTCTTAATATCATTACATTACTCTTTTTCCATAGCTAATCTAAAAATTCATAATTATAAATTTTATATGTAATATTATTTGGGTCCTTAATCACATTACTGGCAATTGACATTGGAGTCTCTATATCAGTTCAAAAATTTTAAAGTTGTTTGGCCATATTGCTGAATTTTCAGATTGATACTTAAATCCCCAAAAATGAAACTGAGGCTAATTTCATTATCATTTATTATATTTGATGATTCGATATGGGTCCCATGTGACATATATTGTATAAAATGATTGTAAAATACATTTATTTGTTTTAGAATGCCTTTAATTTCATTTTTAACGACTGACAAGTCGTGGTTTAATTCGTTATTCATTTCACCCAGTTTAATCTGTGTTATTTATAAAGGTTTACTTTTTTCATTCATCCCTTCATATTGTTTAATAATAGATCTACCCACATATTAATATACATGTATCACCTGCTGACGTTGTTTATTCCCATTCATTTTGGCTATCCTTATAGATTCCCAGCAGATGGTGTTATCATTGTATAGTGATGCAAACAAACCAAAAATAACGGTCTTGGTGTGTGGTCTAAATATCAGTAGGATGTTCCTCGGTAGTTTCTGATTGTACAGAGATGTCATTACCTCATTTATTTTATTGTTCAAATTTAAAATTGCAACTTACCCCATAAATATATTTCATGACAAAGCAATCATTCAACCACCGTTTTGTGACGTCTTTAGAACATTTATTAACCAGCCGGTTGACACAATGTAGAATATTTTATTTTCACTTGGAATTAATTTTCGCTATTTTTGTTGAAGGGAATAATTCAGTGAAAATAAAATTCAGTGCATATACCTTTTTTCCTATATTTAACATTCATCAACTCGTCAATAATCAGTGAAAATAAAATCCATAAAAAACACCCAAAATGTCTTTTTAGCGAAAATTAATTCCAGCTAAAATAAAGTATTTTACAGTAGATGTAATATTCTAAAATCATTAATTATTTACTTGATTTTTTGTTGATAGTTGAAATTTAAAAAAATTGAATACATGTGAAGATGTAATATCATGTAAAACTTGTTTCACTAGAAAATTTGTGAATTTAAAAGTGAATATGATCAAATATTTAACAGTATATCATTAATAGTAAAATGGTTTGTTTTTTTACTGGGCAGTATTTCATGCCGGATTATGTCACAGATGCGTTAGTGTCATTATTTCATAATTCTGCCCCATGATGTTTTTCCTGTTCGTTTTGTGGACTAATATTCAATTAAATGTGAATCCATCTAAAGTGGTGTCTTCTAAATTACCGTTTTTCACCCCTTATCAATTCAGTTTTTACTCTAACCTGCATATATATTTTTTAAAACATTTGATTAAGACCTTTAGCTATTGTGAAATTATATTATGTCCATTTGATCCAAAATGTGTAAAATGTTGCACACGATAATGAACTGACTTCCTACCCTGGGTGGGTGTGCCACAGATTTGATAGTGAAAGCAACTTTGGGAGATTCATCTACTCTGGTGCAAGGAGGAGGATTGAATATGGGATACTGTAAAATACTTCATTTTAGTTGGAATTAATTTTCGCTGAAAAAACTTTATGGGTGTTTTGTATGGAATTTATTTTCACTGATTTTTGACAAGTTGAATGTAAAATATAGCAAAAAAGGTATATTCGTTAAATTTCATTTTCACTGAATCATTCCTTCAGCAAAAATAAAGTATTTTACAGTAGTGACCATAATATCATTATGATGGAACATGATAACCATGCAGTCCCAAACGTGGAATTTGGTTTTTATGTCAAATTTTACATAATCTTTCCATATTTTTACCTAGCAAATCATCAAGGTCTGTAGAAAATAGAAAATGATGTCCATTTGGGTCAAAATTCACAAAGAACTAAACTGTTGCCATCTATTTATAGCTGCCAAATAATAAACAACAATCAATTTTGGGGAAATCAGTATTTTGACCATATAATTTATATTGTATTATTGGCTAATAAATGTTTTCAAAGATGGTACAAAAAAAGTGTATATTTGTCATAATATTTCTTAATTTATGAAAATTTTGCAATATTCTTAGGTGTTCCATGCAATCCAGAAGTCATGTATGGATTTATTACGAGTTATAGAAAAATATCAGGATAATATATGTGGTTAGTATTAAGATTATATTAATTTGCTGGTTTACTTACCTATGTGTGTTTTTCTAGTTTTTCGTCTCATTTAACTACAGAGTATGCAGATTTGATTCCACCAACAAGTTGTCTTTGTATAAACTACTTCCTCAATGACACTCTTCAAAAACTTAAATAAATGGGCAATGTTTGAAATCTCTTGAAAGCATAATAATATACTGTATGCATTTTATTTATTTTTGCATTGATTTCTTGGTTTTTATGGTAATACTGTTGCCTCATGTCATAGGCTAAGAAATCATATGAATCCTACATGCTTTCGCCCAAATTCATCTGCGCTTTTTCTTATTTTCTTCAATATTTCTGGAAATGAACCCTAATTTTGGAGCCAACAGACAAAATTTGAGTAAATTTTCAGGTTTTACTCAAAAATTTTGCTATAAACAGGACTATTTTGTGAATTTGTGATGAAAAACGTACCAGGTGATGAAAAGGTTAAACACCTGAGGCGACCACTTATATTTGTACAAATTATCTAAAAAATTATATTTAATTTTCATAAAATATCTTTATCATAATATTTTTCTCTTATTCTATAATGCATTGCACTCATGCACAGTAGTTCAAATTTTGAGTTTTATTTTCTTTTCCACAGCATTGTCTCAAGAAGAAAATGCAATGGGTAGATTTTTAAAACAGCAGAGTGCACAAGATAAGACGAGAGCCGGTAAAATGATGGCAGCTGTTGGCAAATCACTTAGTTTTTCATCTCAACAGAGGCAAGTATTTTATTAGTCTCCATTTGGATGAAGTCTGAAACAGAGACTATTAATTTTGGTACTGTGCGTTTGGAGCCATGTCTCAGACATGCTTTGACAGTTCTCATTCAAACCTCACATAAAGACATGTATGCATGCCTATTATCTTTGTCATTTGGTTAAATATGGCTGACTGACAGCCGTTTTATTGGTAGTCATTAAATTTGCTCATTTCTCATGGTTAAATGTTTTCAAAACTGTTTTTTCGGAGATGAACTCAAACATTTGTATGAGTATCATGCATATTGGCTTACAGTTGCATTTTATATCTTTTTGAGATTCGAACAAAATGGTTGATTAGTGGCCATTTTGGTTTTACTTTTTACAATACTGGTAAATTGTGACATTCTGATGAAATCATGTCATCCTTAGTTGAAAATGTGCAAAAAGTTGATCATTTATTATGCATGCTGTATGTGATTACAACCACACGATTTTTAGCTCCGCTGTCATCGGTGATTGTCCACCGTCGTCCATCCGTCCGTCAATTGCATTTTCAACTTCTTCTTGAAAACTACCAGCTCAATTGCTTTGATTCTTGGCATGTAGATACCTTGGGTGGACCTCTCTTAGATTTGTTCATTTAGTTTTGGCAAATATTTTTGTAATTTTTGGTAAAGAATGCTATTTTCGACTTCTTGAAAACTACCAGCTCAATTGCTTTGTAGATACCTTGAGTGGACCTCTTTCAGATAATTTCAAATTTTTTTTGTACACTGCCAATTATTTTTGTGAACATTTGTTTGATGAAGTTAAGTTGACATCTTCTCAACAGCCAAAACCAAACCATTTTTTATGTGGGTGTGCAATACCACAATGTAGGACAGCGGAGCTATTCCGAACGTCAGTTTGCTTGTATTGTAGTCTGACACTCAATATTTGAGAGGGATCCTGATTTTGGGATAAGAAGGTCTCCAATTGATTTGTGACATACATGGAATAATTTTAAAATTTACGAAAGTGAAAATTTCACATACAATTTCACATACAGTTATCTCTAAAATTTGACAGCAAATTTAATTTGTATGATATATGTTTCATGCACCTTGTGAGGTTCTAGCTTGACTAATCACAGGCTTCAATTTTTTTTGCAGGTTAGCTTTGAGATCACCGCTGGTTCGACTTTATCAAGAAGTGGAAACATTTCGTTATCGTGCCATCTCCGATACTCTGATGACTATAAATAGAATGGAGAGTTCTCGTACAGAGTACCGTGGAGCGCTGTTGTGGATGAGGGATATCTCTCAAGAGCTAGACCCAGATACGTATAAACAATTAGAAAAATTCAGAAAGGTAACTTTGCCCCTCTCAGACAATATACACCTATTGAATAGTCATGAGCCATTTTTCAACAGTTTTTTTTTTGTCATTCTAAAATTGCATTGTACTCTCTGTGCTATCATTTCTCAGGTTCAGACACAGGTACGGGCTACAAAACAGAAATTCGATAGATTAAAGAACGACGTGTGTCAGAAGATAGATTTACTTGGAGCTAGTCGATGTAATCTCTTTTCGCACACTTTAGCCACTTACCAAACTACCTTGTTACATTTCTGGGAGAAGACGTCCCGAACTATGAGTGCTGTATCTGAAAGTTTTAAAGGTTATCAGTATTACGAATTTAATATGTTAAAGGTCAGTTTGAAAATCCTGTTCTACTTTCCAGTTATTGGACATGGTACTATAATACTATATAGCAGTAGTACATGTTGATGTAATATAAAATTGTTCGTCCCACTATTTCTGAACCCTTGCCTTTCTTAATATTGCTGTCAAGTCAATTCTTGTCTATGATAGAACTGTGAAAGACCTGCAAGAGATCTACACAATATTTACAGGATATCAGGAAGAGATGTGTGCAATACTGCTGATCTGCAAAAGATTTGTGCGATATCTGCAAGAAATTTGTGCGATATCTGCATGGGATCTGTGCAATATATGCTGCTGATCTGTGTGATATGTGCAAAAGATCTGTGCATTATCTGCAGAATATGTGCAAGAGATCTGTACGATATCTTCAGGATATATATCTGCTTGCCGATCTGTGTGATATCTGCAGGAGATCTGTGTGATACCTTCAGGAGATCTGTATGATATCTACAGAATGTATATCTGCAGGAGATCTTTATGATATCTGCAGGAGATCTGTGTGTTATCTGCAGGAGATCTGTGTGATATCTGCAGGAGATCTCTGTGATATCTGTATCTTCAGGAGGTCTGTATGATATCTACAGAATGTATATCTGCAGGAGATCTGTGTGACATCTGCAGGAGATCTGTGTGACATCTGCAGGAGATCTCTGTGATATCTGCAGGAGATCTCTGTGATATCTGCAGGAGATCTCTGTGATATCTGCAGGAGATCTCTGTGATATCTGCAGGAGATCTCTGTGATACCTGTATCTTCAAGAGGTCTGTATGATATCTACAGAATGTATATCTGCAAGAGATCTGTGTGATATCTGCAGAAGATCTGTGTGATACATGTACCTTCAGGAGGTCTGTATGATATCTACAGAATGTATATCTGCAAGAAATCTGTGTGATATCTGCAGGAGATCTGTGTGATATCTGCAGGAGATCTGTGTGATATCTTCAGGAGGTCTGTATATCTACAGAATATATAATTATCTGCAAGAGATCTTTATGATATCTGCAGCAAATCTGTGCAACATATACAAGAGATATTTGCAATAACTGTAAGAAATCTTCAGCAGATTCTCAACAATTCATTGTGAAAGTCTTGGCTGAGTGTATTGTCAATTTAAAATTTGTGAAACTTGTTCTGTTGTTCCATATTCTTATAACCTGTGCAGATACCACTGATAAGGCGCAACTAGTTACAATGACTTTGATTACCAACTTTATCACTTTTTAACTGTACATTGTATGTGCATTCTTGCCTAATAATGATATTTTATTCCTTTTAGCTATCCAGACAGCCGTAAATGGTATTTTAGACAATATTTAATGCTTTGTGTAGCTTTAGCTATTGCTATAGACTGTTTTACTGACAAAAAGTTATTCTCAAATCGTAGCCTAGAATCTATTTCTGTGAGACCCTTTACAAAAGCCTAGGATCATTGTCCTTTTTATCTTATTAGACATGCAAAGTTATTCAAACATCACTGAAGTTTGGGCAGTAGATATCATGAGTTGAAATAAATGTTAAAATTAATGATTTAGATTTGTGGTTATTTTAAATGTTAAATTATTTGTACAGGAATTAGGTGAAACGTCGCGGCAGTTAGCAGAACTTACAAAAGATGGCTTTGATAAAATCAAAAAAACAGATGAAATTGAGGAAAATGAAGAACCGGAGCGACTCGTCGATTTACTCGATTTCAGTGAAGATCCAGAGGATGATAATTTTGAGGAGTCAAGGGGAGATGAGAACGAAGATTTTTTTAATCAGGCATTGGAGGAGAGAAAAGTAATTCTGACTATTTTTATTTTTTTTAAGGTTGAAATAATGAATGAATTTGTGGTTTATTTCTAGGTGTTGGTCTTTGGGTAACCATCGTGATCATTCCATCATCTTTCAATCTCTCACTACTTTCAAAAATCCTCTCTGATCCTTGACCTTTTTTGGTATTCCTTGGTTTTTTCAGAATTCATGGTGATAAATAAAAAAAAAAATATGAAAGTAAACAGAATTTTCTGGATTTATTTGTGGTCAGTTTATTCAGGAAACTTGCAAATCTGAATATGGTTTTTTGAATTGCATGTGAATATGCTCAGGATTTTGAAGCCAAGGAATACCAAATCAGAGTATTCTACTATCATCTCGGACTATATCGAATTAGAAACTTTGTACAAAAATACTTAAACCCTGTGAAAAGTGATCTATTCTTCGTTTTAATAGTCAAAATCAGCTTTTATGTGCAGTGTTTTTATACAATAGTTTCTAATGCGGTGAAAGATCTTGGATTTATCACTGTAGGGTGGGTGGTGTTGGTGATTACCCGCCATATCCCCTAATTACATGGATCACTGCATTTTAATTTGCAGTATGTTGGGTTGTGGATAATCACAACATGGTGCTTGTCAAACGTAATCTCCTATTGACTGATATGACTTCCCCAGTGCTAGTGGAACAAAATGTGGAAAAACACTTGAGATGTCCTTTAATTTTAAATGTATTACCCTCTTAAACCATCACTACAATTGTTTTTTCTAGTTGAATGCATGTTTTATATATTCGAATAAGAGAATGTGGGAAAAAAAAGTAAATTTGATATTTTCAAAGAAAAAAACCTCTACTACATCCTGGGTCATTAAAATGAATTTGTCTCTCATTCTAGTGCAACACTGAAACGCGGTGTTAAAACCTCTCTCTTCCCCTTCTAATAATACACAGTCATACAGAGTACCATCTGATTAAAACTGACAACTTTCACTCTTTGGATTCCACTTGTACATAATTTACCACTCAAACATAAACGTTAGAAAATTGTAATGATAAATTCAGTATTGCTGATCGAAAAAAAAAGTAGCTCAATGTTATTTATTCATAGTTATTGACTTGTTAAATAAAATTGTAATGTATGTTTGCATGTGCATGTTTTGATGGAATGACAATCTCCTGCATGTTGTTGAATGTAACTCTCGTTCATTCCGTAAAGTCGATCATCATCTTTAATATTTTGCATGATGTGGTTTACTTTGTAATGTATGGTAGCTAGAATGATTTTCAATTCCTCAAAGTATCAGATGTGTATACATTAGATTCAGATGCAAATGACCGTTGTGAGAAAACCATAATACTGTAAAATGACTAATTTTCACTGGGTTTATATTTCGCTGTTTACCATTTCAAGCATATTCAGTGGGTTTCAAATTCACGATTTTATCATTTAGATAATGTGTTCTATTCTAAATTTTAAATATTCAGTGGGTTTTAATTTAGCGCATTTTCCAGTCAGCGAAATAAGCAAAATTAAAACCCAGTGAATAATTAACCTCTTTACAGTACTTGATTTTATACTCACAAATAGCATTCCATACTTTTCCATCATTGTCCCAACTGTTTCACTCAGAGTAGTGGATGTAAGGGACAACGTCAAAAGATCGATGTCAGATAAAAAACTTAATTCCTTTAGTTTTTTTCCAAATCCCCTCACCCCCCACTGAAACTTAATTGATAAATATTGGTCATGGTGTCATACTACATTCACCATTAAATACAAATTGATAATCGGACAGTAGTATTGCATAGCAGTTGGTTGTCGGGTGGGTGTAAAAAGACTTTACAAATGCACCTCATTTGATGCACATATTTACAGTCGGACCAAACCATTTTCTCGTCTTGGATGTGTTTTTTTTCATTTTCTGTTATTGCTGTCCATGATTGGATAGAAAAAAAACAAACTACAAATACTCCAAGATTTGTTTGACTTCATTAAAAAAATAAAATCGTTTTTGTAGGATGGAAACTTTTTGAGGTCAACCCCCCCCCCCCCAACTAAAGCAAATAAGTTTTTTATCCGACATCGATCTTTTGACGTCGTTCCTAAGGGGAAAAAAAGACTGAACACTATTTTGGATGCAAAAACAATTCTTGCTGTTCTCTCGATATCAACGAAATCTTGTCTGCCATTTGTATCTAATAACTATTTAGAGACCCCTTCCCAGTCCACTTGAGAATAGTCTGGTGAATCACTACATAAATACGTAGACGGCACACAATTCTGTGTCATCACTGATTGGCTGTCTCCATGACTTCAGTACATTATCGCGGGAACTCGTATGCGCAGATATACTATCTGTTTCAAGAACTACAGACATGGTTGACATAGTGATACATTGTTTTTGGTTTTTTTCATCAAATATGATGTAATCATTTTCACATAGAATATCTGTAGAAAGGTTCTGTTATACACCACGGCAGTTCCATATTTTGTTATACATGTACCTGACAATTTTAAAAATAGAATACTAAACTATTAATCAAATGATCTTTCATTTTCTTCATATCTTTAGAGGTAATCAAAAATTTCATTTCAAATTGTTTATGAATTTTGCAGGAAATCTTCACATGCAGAGTCATCAAACCATTGTGTGTCAAATTACCTCATGAATAATTAACAGTTAATAATTAATTAACACTAACTTTGTAAGACTCTGAGTCACTGAGACATGATGCGTCTTCTTTTTCAGCTTTCTTGCTTTTTTTTCCCTCAGTACATTCATTTTTCGGTTTTCTTTTTCAGTAATATTACCTTTTTACACTCTACTACTGGGTAGTTTTGTTCTACATTCTAAACTGGATGCTTTTTCTCAGAATATTTGTTAAATAATCATGACCTATATATCTTTGCTCTCGCTTGAAATGATCAAACTAATCTAAGTTATGTCTGGGTTTTTCTGGCAGGAATCCTAATTATTGTGGGTTTCAATTCTCTGGTTTTCAAGAAAAATTGAGGTATTCACTCAATGTGCAGCTTCCAAAAACATCGTAAAAATGTTATCTAATTTTAAAATCAGAGTTTCCATGGTAACTGATGTGATACTAACTACTTTGCCTTATTACATTGAGTACAGAGAATCATCGTCATCTTTCAAATTGCTAAATAGTTATGTGTAGTTATTCAGACTTTTTGAAACGAGTTGGATTTAAACAGATACTAGTGATAGCGTGAACAATCCATCACAAATATGGATGGATGAATTATTAACAGAAAAAGTTGTTCAGATTTTTCAGAAATTGGGATGAATGAGTATAGATGACTGTATAATGATCTCAGTGACAAATAAAGTCAATTTTCACACGCTGGAGTTCAGCATTTTGTCCATGGTACAAACTTGGTACAGTCAGTAAAGCTAATTGAGTGTCACATTTATTTGAGTCAACCCTTATCACTGCTAGTAATGTTGGGATTTCTTTATCACAATATGCAAGGGTGTCCACTGGTCCACATTAGAGCACTTTATTGCTGAGTTCATCAGTATAGGTTAAGTTAAGACGCAAATGACTCATGACCTCAATAAGAATGAGAGAGAGAGCGAGCCATGTAACTTATTTTTACCCCTCAGATAGTGTTTCATTCTCCCTGCCATTATTGCGTTGACTGTTTCAAATACCTTGGTTATCTAATTCAGTGGAATGGTAGACGGGGGGAATTGAACACTTAACGGGGCAAAAACGAGTCATGAGGTTCTCTCGCTTCTCAACAAAATTTCTGTAGCCATTTGCATTCACTTCATCAAATTGCAAAGCACTAAACTTTATCATTAACTTCACTATAATATAATATAATTCCATATTTGCTCAATCAGATCATGTGTGATCATAAAATTTCTGTTAAAAAAAATTGATCTGCTATGTGTTGGCGTAATTCAAATCCTAATAAAAACAAACATTATGCTTCTAATAGAGCAATAAGGTATGAAATTTACAGCAATTGTTTAAATAGGGTTTTCAAGAAAATAGGCTAACATTGAAATATTCCTGGGAACATTGCTGGTGGTGTTTGTTTTCTCAAGTGCCTATTGTTCACACTGAGTGTAATTCAATGCAATGATAAAATAAACCAAATTAAAATGCAGTGTATAATTAATATGTATACATAATCATTTAAACTTAAAACTCAATTACTATATGTGGTCTTTAAGTGTCTGGGAATCCTACATCTTTGTACCGGGTAACTCAAATTTACAAGATGGCTGCCAATAATCATTTCATCATATCACGTTAATACTTTGTATTAGTTTCCCGTTATTTATGTTAGCCAATGTTGTATTTTATTTGTAGGAACTTATAGAACCGAGTAAAAAGTTAGCACAGCTCACGTCGGGCAAAGAACCAGACAAAGGAACTCAAACAGAAGAAGATGATATACTTTTAGGAGTGGAAGATGATGTAATACCCTTTGACCTCTTTTATTGAACCAATCAAATGACTCCTTACTTACTCAGTAGCCAATCAAATCTTTTCTTTCTCTTTTTGATAAGGAATTGAAATAATGTAGAACAGGAAAACTAATCTCTACATCTTAAGACTATTTTGCTCTTTTTGATTTTCTCAACAGTATCTAAATAATAATTTACTAAATATAATAAGTTTAAAGTTTTAAATTGTTTATAAATCTATTAAGTATTATGCTAACTAACCCCTGAATTAACCCTCCGCCAAATATATTTTCTTGGCAATATTGTGTGGATACATTAGGTTTGCTACCATGTGTAACTGCACATCACATTGGCAGCTGCCTGCTCTATCACATCTGCCCTTGTGCTTGAGTTATCTGCCATGGTTCATTATTTGTTCAGTTTCATAAGTTTAACACATAACCATGGTAACGGTATAAGATCTCATGCAGTGGCTCTCTCTCATTCTCATCTGATTGTACATCTGCATTTTTTGATTCTAAATATTGGATATCATAACTTTGTATATTAATTGACAGTTGTCAATGTCAATGTCAAGTTCAGATTTCATGTAAAGCAACAATGTATCTTTCATGCAACATAACACATCGCATGGGACTCGTATCGAACGTAACACATCATAATGATCCCTGCTCAAATTAAATCATGTATTACTTCATTACTCATGGAAGTTAAATATCAATGTTATTTGAAATTTATGTTCTTAGCTACGGTAATTAGCAACCTAATTGATAGGTGAGCCAAATTTCCGTCATGTTTAAAGCACTGTTGTGTCATGTTCACTATTGAGTCTCATGCGGCTTAACAAAGTAACATACATTGTTGGTATGAAATTTGAATATACGCTATGTGATGACTGTGGCGATTTATTCGTAATAATTTTTATAAATTATAAGTTTATTAACCTGCTTTTGAGTACAAATGTTATACTTGATATGTGTGCGTGAGAACGTTGATGTGCTCTATTGCCAATGCCATTGTCACTGTCACTGTGGGCCATGGTATAAATCACTCCATGCATGGCCAGCACTCTTTTACAGTATTCTGACTGTTTAAGTTTGCCTGCCACACTGCTTGGTTAATAATTGCTTTAGTTTCACTTTTACTAACATTTTATTTTTCTTCACATGTTCACAGTTTATTGCTTCGTTTATTTGCTGGATTTCAGATACCTCATTACTTTCATAATAATCGTTTTTTTTCTCTCAGTATTGGCTTTTTCTCCGTTTTGTTATATTTGTGTTTTTACATGTTTCCATGCTCTGCATTTTCCTGGATTTTGTTGTTTTATTACAAGTGAATGTTCTCATTGCATGGGTAACAAAAAAAAGCTTTTCTTGCCAAATTTAGTCACTAATATTATGTCAATCAAGGCAATATATGATCACATGTGCTTATATAATGACATTAGCAGTTGCTTTACATGTTTGACCAATCAAAAATAAAGTTTCATTGCCTCTTCCTCATTCTGTGTTATAACCTTTGCTGTGATTGGTCAAAAGATTGGTGATTCCTTATATAAATGGTGATGGTGGCACTTCATATTACTACATGGTGTTACAATCATGTATGACTTGTTTTAAATGTTTTTTTTTTCTTTTTTCCCCCCACCTTCTAGGACTTGAATGACCCATCTAAAAAACTAACAAGAAATGCCAACAAACTAGGTACAGACAAGGAGAAGGATCAAGCAGAGAAAGATGTGGATACTGCTGAAGAAGCTTCAGAAATGTCAGACAAAGATAGGTAAATGAAAACACTTTTGTACTTTTCAGAACATGTAATCCTAGTGAAGTATTGCCATATTTTTTCAAAGATTTTGATCAAGATGTGTTGCCAATGAGTGATTTTAATAGTCCAAAATTAATGAAGAAGATGAAGAAAAAAATTTGCAAAATGTTGCACCATATGATGGTGTTGGGTCAGAAATAAAAAAGTAATTACATTTTGCCATGTGAGGGCACAATTATCTTACTCAGATGTGGTCAGGTGTCAATTTCTGCGTCATCACAAATGAGGGTAAATATAGCGTAATTTGCTTTAAAAGGGCTTTTGATTTTCAAATGAATTATTATATATTCACAGTCTCATCCAAGAATATAATTTTGTTAATTTTTTATAATCCCACAACATTATGTGGTCAATGTGTAATATTTATTAAATAATGCTTGTATTAAAGATTTTTTTAGATCAATAAACATCCTCTAAAACATTTGGTTCACTTCACTAATGCACAAATTCCAAAAATGTGCAAGGTACAAATTTCAAACAGATGTGCACACTAATAAGAAGCAAAACCATTTTTTTTATCCTTGCCCCTAAAGTTTCAACAAAACTCTCACTATTGTATACATCTAATTCCAGGTTAATATCTTTCGAAGAAGAGAGCCGTCGAGAAGCTGATGAATTTCAGAGGTTGATTATGGAAAGCGGTGGTAAGCCGAACCCCCGGCCGTCATCATTACCATTACATGGTGGAGCAAATCCTGATGATGGTAATGCAATTCTAGATCTGTTAGCTAATAGTAGTAATCCACCGTCTGATATAACAGAACAGTACACAGGTAGTTCATGTCTCATTTTATCATCTACGCTGGCTGTCCTCAGTATGTATAGATATCGAACACATCAAACTCAAGCCAGGCAACAACCTTCTGGGATTTCTGTCAAAGTAACTGATTTATTTATTGTAAACTTTGTCATGATATTATACTTGTTTTTAAATTTATTCAGGGACAAAATAAATAGCAATGATTTTCGCTGGGTATGATTCAGAGAATTACTTATTTTGATCTTAACGTTTTTCTAATGTAAACGTAAACCAAATTTCTCAGCTGTAAATTGCTACATAGATTAACGGATGTGACATTTTGGACTAGGGGGCATGCTCAGTATTAGAGCAAAGAAGCTTTCTAGTACTCAGATATAAACGATAAGTTACAAGGTTTGCAGTATCCTTACTGTAAACATAAAGGTACTAGAAATGCCTGGATTTACAGTTAGTGTGTTCAGTATCTTATGTACATGTATGTAGGGACATGGTGGTTAAGGTTGGTGCTTCTTTTCATATGCTTCTAAGTAACATTCATGCTTACAACATACTGCATATATATATGCTGTTACATTCTGCACATGCTGGCTGATGTATGTTCGTTTTACATAAATACTATGTCAAAGCATAAATGAAACAAAACTTCTAAAACTGTTAGAACATCTATGGTCTGCATGTGTGACTATTTGTGATGCACTTCTAAGGCCAACAAAATTAATAGGTTTTAGTTCTCGTCATAACGTATGTCAGTTTGAAACCTGTGCCTCACGAATGTTTTTGGCAATTTTGCATGTTGGTAAAGTGCGCTGCATACGGTAGAAGGGGGAAAATGTTTCATTTTCTGTTTTATAGATGTTTTTTTGCTCAAATCAACCATAAATGCATGTATTCAATAGTATTATCTAATAGATGTGAAACGCTGAATTTTTATTTCGTTGTATAAAAAAATACATGGATTGAATTCTGTGCGAGCATCAATTCATCTGTCCGTCAGACATGCCTTGGTCAATCGCATTGAAACTTCACATACACACATCATATATCTTGGGACACATATTCACATCCATTGGTTTCATGATTCAAAATGGCTGAATGGTGGCCATTTTAATATTAACAATTCATCAAAATCAAGCATACACTAAACACAATGGTCTCTAGCATAAATGGACTGATCGCAATCAAACACCATTACATATTATGTATTTTTTTTTTAAATGAACCAACAGATCAGTCAAACTGAAAAAAACAACAGAGAATTTGTGAAACTAACCAAAGAGACAAAGACAATTGTTTGCTCTTCGTATTAGGTATTAGGTCTCCCGGAAAAATCAAAAACTTGTGTGAACTCATGTATGCGTACAATTACAGGATGCAGTTCAGTAGTAACCTTTGTCCTACCAGCCCAGAAACAGTGATACAATCATGCATGTTTTACCATTTTCAAAACGCTTTCTTGATGTGCTTCATCTGTTTTCTGTTAGGTGAAGGTAAAGACTTGCTTTCCAACGATCCTTCGGCTGAAGACAAGGACGACTTAGCTTTACTCAATGAGATATGGAATACGCCATCAACAGGGGGTGATGACTTCTCTAAGGAATGGCAGGCTTCATTTGGTAGCGGTTCATTGAACCCGTCAAGTAACTTCACCCCAGTAGAGAGTGATAACTCGGCTGAGTATATGCCGTCTAATTTGCTAGATTTGAGTAGTAGATTGGGTGAAATGGACATGGGTTCTGGTGAGTACAGACTTTAATTATTAGAGTTTAGTAGTTTTTTTGTCAAGTTTTCTCATCTAAAAATATGGTGCTTTTACTAAACACTGAGTGCACTATGTGTTAGCATTCGCAGTTTGCTAAAAAAAAAAATTCTGGAGAGACATCCATGACATTCATTTTCTGGAACAAAAATATTTATTTAATAAAAATGCCCCCCCCCCCCCTCTCAATGTGTACATCACATATGTAACTTCATTGAGGTCACATAGGAACAGCAACCAACTATCTGAACTTGATTTTCATAGTCATCGGGTTTGATGTCATTCAAGACAATGCCTCAGAAATGAACAGAGCTTTGACCTATACCAGATTTAATTCACTTACACCTATTGCCAGTTTTTAGCTCCGCTGTCGACTTTGTCGAGCGGAGCTTATCATATGAGTGATTGTCCGTCGTTCGTCGTCATTCGTGTCAATGTTTTACTTTTTCGACTTCTTCTTGAAAACTACAAGCCTGAATGCTTTGATACTTGGTGTATATGTACCTTGGGTAGACCTCTCTTAGATTTGTTCATTTCATGTTGATATCTTCAATTCTCTAATTTTGGTGAATATTTTTGTCATTTTTGGTAAAAAGTGATATTTTCGACTTCTTGTTAAAAACTGTAAGTCCGATTGCTTTGATATTACATATATAGGTACTACATGTAGACCTTTCTCAGATTTGTTCATTTTGTGATGATATCTTCAATTCTCTAATTTTGGTGAATATTTTTGTAATTTTTGGTAAAAAGAGATATTTTCGACTTCTTGTTAAAAAAACAATAGTTCAATTGCTTTGATATTACTTATATAGATACTACATGTAGACCTTTCTCAGATTTGTTCATTTTGTGATGATATCTTCAATTCTCTAATTTTGGTGAATATTTTTGTAATTTTTGGTAAAAAGTGATATTTTCGACTTCTTGTTAAAAACTGTAAGTCCGATTGCTTTGATACTATACATATTGTTCATTTTCTAATGATGTCTTCAGTTTTTTAATTGAAATGTGCATTGCTAACAGTGGAGCTATCTCAGCCTATAGGCTGCTTGTTCAAAAATTTCTGAAGATGGTCTGGTACTAGTACTTGACATGTGTTGATGCTGCGTGCTTGTCTCCTGTTAGGCACTAAGCCGTTATGTTATGACATTTCTGAATTACTGCTAAGAGTTGGTTAATATTGTCATTTGCTCAATTAGTGGTAGTGATGGGCTTGTGTAAATGACAGACAGTGTCAAACAAAGTTATATTATCCCACATCCAATAAATGCAATAAATTTGGGGGTCTAAAATAGTCACAGACACAAACTAGGCTTGAACTTCATGTAAGTGCTTGCATTGGTGCCCTTCGACAAATACAGATTTTCCATATACTTCTACACTTTTATAAGATTCTTCTTAATTTGAACCCTGCACCAACAATTACCTTGATACGTTGAGGTAGAAACCTGCTCATAAATGAAATACCAAAAAAATTTTCATTTTACAAGAAATTGTACTCCCAAGCAGTGTAAGAATATTAAAGTTTGGGGGACACCAGCCTAATAAATATTGTTTATGATAGGGGTACCTTTTTATTTCAAAAATCTGGGTTTTAAAAAGAATTGCAATTTTTCTTTAACATTGTGTTCTATGAATATGTCACTGAAAGAACAAAAGAATGCTATGGTGGCCTTGGAACAATTATAGCACTATGATTGTACATAATAAATCACTGAACATTGTCATGTGATTTATAACCAGTTTTCTCAAAAATTATGAGTAGGCTTCTACTTCAGCATCTTTCCCTAAAACTTAAACATCTGCTATTGTAACTCACATATTGAATCTGCATGAAATTGAAGGCACGTAATTCTGGTATTTGCTTATCAGAATTTCACCTGGTGAAATGAACATAGATCTAAACCAGACATGGTTTATCCACAGGTGGAGTACCAATGCAGGGGGGAACCGGCGGTGTCGGAGCTGCTGGCGCCGGACCAATTAACCCAGCAATGCTACAACAAATACTGCATCACCAGCAATTAGCAAATCAACAACAACAATTAGGGCAACAACAACAAGGTCAAGACGCAGGTAAAGACAACAAGAAACCACAGAAGAAGATTCCAAACAAGAAATCTGAAAAAGCCGACATGTCTGCATGGTTTAGTTTATTTGCCGATTTAGATCCACTGGCTAATCCTGACGCCATTGGACAAAAAGAAGATCAGCATGTGGAAGATTTCCAAGCTTAGTACGGCCGGCTCTCGGCACCAGTGAGTTACACCCTGTCTGTACAACCATTATGTTCTCTGCCACTTTTCTTGCATGGTTGACATTTCCCCTCGTTATTGTATCTCTCAAATTTTCTATATTTTGGATCAGAAAGACCAAGTTAGAGCATATTTATGTTATATGAATAGAAGTTCTTATGACTGAGTTGTGTTTATGTTATTTACTGTGTAAAAGGTGAGGAATTAGAGAAGCCAACTGCCAAGTTTGTAGTATTTCAGAATAACAGTTGCCACGCTTGTGAACATCACTTTGACCACGCCTGATCCACATCGTTTGTGTTGCATACATACTTTAATATTAGTGTCAATGATCTTGTGTGCGTTGTATTATGCTACTATTATAAACAGTGTCAGACTCTAAACATGTATTGCTTGTGTAACAATCTAGATTTGATTGCTGCTATTACTACTGTGGTTACACTTAGAATAAGCAATATAAGTCATTGGGCGTGATTCACAGTGCGTAACTGCCTATGATTCAAGTCTGTTTGATCTACACTGGTTGGAGCTTGAGTCTGACAGTACTCTGTTCATGTCAAAATGTGTATCCCAAAAGGACACATATCAATGTTCTAATTTACATAAAGTTGTCACTGGCTATGACACCATTTTGAAAGTGAACTATTTCGGGAGCGAAATTTGTGGTAAATCCCCCCCCAAAATTGTGTACATTCACATGTGGCTGACACAAAATGTTGAACTTGTGTGTAACCATGAGGGGATTTATTCTTCCGTTTACCGGCGGGATGGTTGACAAATGATTAGTATTGTTCATTGGTAGTGTAACTGCAGTATATATGTATAGCAGTAATAGATATGATTCCATTCAGCCATCTGATATCATAGCCTTTCTTCCAGTTCATCACTATATATATAAATATACATAACTTGCGTATATTAAGTTTTGTCATCGGAAGGTTTGTCTGAAAAGATTTGTAAATATTCTTCGCCTATACCAATGATTGTACAATAAAAAAAGGTCTCTGTATATTGTCCATATTTATATTCATATATTCATTCATACTGTAGACTTAGTGTAAAGTCTTCCTCTATTGGTTGACTATTATAGCATGTCGAAATGATGGCCAATAGAAACAACTGTCATAAATAAATGTTAGTTGGTTGTTCTAGATACTTATTTACCTGAACTGTTTTTGAGTACTAAATACATCTAGCTTAAGTAATAGTTTATTTCAAAAAGCGATTCTTGTTTTACAGATTTCATGATTGCAAATACAATATATGTTTCATATTTTTTCTGTTAGATGCAGGCCTCAAATATATATCTCAAACATGTTGTTTATTATTAATATATCTGTCAATTATCGCTGCTAGTTATCTAAAAAGCGTTGGGTTATTTTTTTGGGTAAGGCATTGTTCCAACCATAGACCTTAAAAGGTCTATGTTCCAACGTACATAAGGTCTATATATTGGAGAATTGTATTCTTCACTTGTTACATTCACATCGGGCAAATAATAGAAGCTAAATAGTAGAGAGAATGTCACACTTATCACAGTTTTTTTTCTTTATACTGCCTTTCTGTGTCATAACATTGTAAATATTGTCTGATTCAAAAATGTACTGAGTTGGAAGTCAAAGAGAAAGTATCATTTCCTTGAAACAGAATATTTAACAGCTGATTAACATATCTCGTTTGTTTTAACATAAACTCTTATTTATTGGTACCAATCAATGCAGGTGTCTTAACTTATAGTATGTTTAACAGAGTTTATTTATTTACTTTTATTTTTCTTATTTTTACATGTAGCATATTTGCTTTATTAGAAGCGCATAGTCTCGTCAGTTGACATGTAACACTGTTGAATTAAGTATACTCAAGTATTTTTGATGTGCTTGTTGTAAAGCAAATATGTTAGCATATCCTCACCATTGCACCATGTTTCTTTACTTGGTACTCGCTTTCTTGGCACTCGCTTCTGGGTTTAAATTTAAAGTACCTTAGATGAAAGCGGCTTACGAATTAAAAAACAATTGTTTTTGCGAAAAATGGTGTAATTTATTTGGGCCATTAGTATCAATTTAGTATTCAATGTTACATTGAATTATGCATATTAAGTTCATGATGGGAATCATTCTGCATCTCACTGCTGAACAATTATAACTCGAATTTAGTGATCTTCGGCTATAACTCTGACCCTTTAAAATTAATAGGATATTTGGTAGAAAAAACAAATATGTATCAATGAGAATCTAATGGATACAAAGGTCTCATATTAATAACATAATAAACGACCGGTACTTATTCAAACATCAATGAATTTTTCAAAAGTAGTTGGGACGCTGTTTCAATATCAAGACTCTGGCAAGAACAAATAAAAAACAAGTGTTTTTTTCTTTTAATTATTTACTCGATCTTAAATTTTTTTTTATATATCTGTTTCCCCCCAAAATCCCACTATTTTTAATATGTACGTGTTGACCTTTTGGCAGGTGTGTCTATGCATATGATATGATATATTATGGACAGTAAAATCTATGAATGATCTAGCTATTCTTAATGTAGATAAAAGTTAGTTTGTGTATTCAGTTCCCCTTGCAATTTAACAATGTACATGATGTAGTACTTGCATGACCAGATTTCATTGTCAAATCGACCAGTATTTAAGTATTAAAATATGGAATTTTATGTATAAAATTATGCTATTCCATCAATGTACCATAATATGTGACTTACTAGTATTTTGGTTATCTGTGTAGGGACCATATGATTATAGGACATTTAGAAATAACATTCCTTCAAATTATAAATTAGAGCGCCCTCTTTAGATAATATGAAGGTCAGTGAGCAGAGTGCCCTCTATAGGTGATGTAATGTCGGGAAGAAGGTTCCCTTTATAGATTGTATGAAGAACTTGATTTTAAATCCAGGAGAAATTGAAACAGATTTTTGTTTGACAGAAGTTGTTTTTTGTGAATACTGTGCAATGAGAAAATTTTTCGTTTTAGTAAATATTTATTTTAAACGATAGTGAAAAGTGGAAAAAAAGAATTGTATGATATGTATTAGGGTAATGTGGAAAATTAGGGTTTTTAAGAGGAATTAAAAACTTACTCTAATGCAGCCCTGTGTGTGAGTGTGTTATTTACTTACTCAATGCAGCCCTGTGTGTGTTATTCACTTACTTTAATGCAGCCCTGTGTGTGTTATTCACTTACTTTAATGCAGCCCTGTGTGTGTTATTCACTTACTCTAATGCAGCCCTGTGTGTGTTATTCACTTACTCTAATGCAGCCCTGTGTGTCAGTGTGTTATTTACTTACTCAATGCAGCCCTGTGTGTGTTATTCACTTACTTTAATGCAGCCCTGTGTGTGTTATTCACTTACTCTAATGCAGCCCTGTGTGTCAGTGTTATTTACTTACTCAATGCAGCCCTGTGTGTTATTCACTTACTCTAATGCAGCCCTGTGTGTGTTATTCACTTACTTTAATGCAGCCCTGTGTGTGTTATTCACTTACTCTAATGCAGCCCTGTGTGTGTTATTCACTTTAATGCAGCCCTGTGTGTGTTATTCACTTACTCTAATGCAGCCCTGTGTGTGTTATTCACTTACTCTAATGCAGCCCTGTGTGTGTTATTCACTTACTCTAATCCAGCCCTGTGTGTGTTATTCACTTACTCTAATGCAGCCCTGTGTGTGTTATTCACTTACTCTAATGCAGCCCTGTGTGTGTTATTCACTTACTCTAATGCAGCCCTGTGTGTGTGTGTGTGTGTGTTTCATTTACTCACTCCAATGTAGCCGTGTGTGTGTGTGTTATTCACTTACTCAATGCACCCTGTGTGTGTTATTCACTTACTTTAATGCAGCCCTGTGTGTTTCATTTACTCACTCCAATGTAGCCCTGTGTGTGAGTGTTATTTACTTACTCAATGCAGCCCTGTGTGTGTTATTCACTTACTTTAATGCGGTCCTGTGTGTTATTTACTTTAATGTTGCCATGTTTTAGTATGTTTATTCACACTGTATTCTGTGTTGTGTGAAATAATGCCCCCAACTATTGTTTGCAAATATGCCATGCCAGCTAGTATGTAAGTGGTACCCAATTTGAAAACTGGGATACTGTACGTTGAATTTCTAGCGTTGCTGAATTGCTGCATGGCGCCCTCTATGGAATAGTTTTTAAAAATAAAATCAACGGTTGTTTTAGATTGTAGAGAACATCAATATTTCTCTATATCGATGCCTCATTCTACATAGGCACGAATTCTGAATTTTTACCTTGATGAGCACTGCGGTCAAAGAAGATATTCGTGCAAGTCGTGGCATTCTCTGAGCCTCGACTGATTACTGCCGTTGGTGGCGTGGGTGAAGGTATTTCAATATTAGAGGCCTTTCACCGTGTGCAATCAAGGATTAAAATTTGCATAAAGTCGGGAGTTATAAATCTATGACGTAGACACCAAATTAACTGTTGATAACGAGCATTGGTTACATTAGAGACCACACAAGGAAGTATCTTCAGGGGCGGACATCCGGGCATTTTCTACCGCCTGGCAACCCTCAAAACCCGGTGAAAACAAAGACCAAAAACGCAGAAAACGGTACTTTGCGATGGTTGTTGAGAGTCCCCTGAACAGAGTAACAAGATTTGCTCTACGTGTATAACATATATGAATTTGGTTGTTCAGGATTACTTCAAAGTTGAGTTTGTGTTGTTTTTTCGAATTTTCACCGGCTCCACCGGCGTTCCACAGCAGCGCGCACAGAGCCCATAGAAATACGTTGTACAGTGGTGCGCGTCTTAGCAACGTAGAACGTCTGTGACGTAGCTTTGCCCCCGAGGGTATGGTTGCATAGAAACAAGGGACTCAGTGATAAGAGTTGGGGTATAGAAAGGAAAAGACAAATATATACATATATTTTATTATCAAAATTTAAGTTATTCCACAGTCGCTTGTAAAATAAAGTTAAACACGACTTTTATCAAACATTGGGAATATTGTTCTCTCATATTAATCGAGTTTTAGCAAAGATAACTCCTTTAATTGGTTTAATTGCGATGTGCGAGCAACTGACAGTGTAGGAGTGTCGAGGGCTCTCGAAAAGTGTGCCAAATTATACAGTTTTATGCAACAGAGACGCACAACAAGAGGTAATCAAGGCCATTAATGAACTGGGTACCTGTAAACCTTAAACAAATTCCAATAGAACAATGATGAGACGAACCAGAAGTGGTGGAAAAAATCGTGGCTGTAAATCTACACCGACAAAAGGATCCATTGCTAATTTTATGCAAATTAATGCATTGACAGAAAACCAAGAATGCGATACACCTGATGAAGACACGCAATCTAGCAATGTTGACCAATCTGATCATGCGCAGGAAGCTGACACGTATTCAATCAATGAACACGACGAGGACGACGTCTTAGAAATGCACGATTTCCAACGCTTCGTAAAAAACGCTTTAATGCGTTTAGAGAAAAGCATAGACAAGATTTGTAAGGAACATTCAGTTATCCTTGAAAAATTG